AGTCGAATGCATCGACTAAACTGATTAATCGCTACAGCGCTAGTTAGTTAGTGAACATCATTGAGTGCACACTAACTAGGGATCGACACTATCATTACAGAAGAGGACGATGAGGATGAAAGATCACATCAAAAATAAGCTGGAGTCGAATGCATCGACTAAACCGATTAATCGCTACAACGCTAGTTAGTTACTGAGCATCATTGAGTGCACACTAACAAGGGGTCGACACTATCATTACAGAAGAGGACGATGAGGATGAAAGATCACATCAAAAATAAGCTGGAGTCGAATGCTTCGACTAAACCGATTAATCGCTACAGCGCTAGTTAGTTAGTGAGCATCATTGAGTGCACACTAACTAGGGATCGACACTATCATTACAGAAGAGGACGATGAGGATGAAAGATCACATCAAAAATAAGCTGGAGTCGAATGCTTCGACTAAACCGATTAATCGCTACAGCGCTAGTTAGTTAGTGAGCATCATTGAGTGCACACTAACTAGGGATCGACACTATCATTACAGAAGAGGACGATGAGGATGAAAGATCACATCAAAAATAAGCTGGAGTCGAATGCTTCGACTAAACCGATTAATCGCTACAGCGCTAGTTAGTTAGTGAGCATCATTGAGTGCACACTAACTAGGGATCGACACTATCATTACAGAAGAGGACGATGAGGATGAAAGATCACATCAAAAATAAGCTGGAGTCGAATGCTTCGACTAAACCGATTAATCGCTACAGCGCTAGTTAGTTAGTGAGCATCATTGAGTGCACACTAACTAGGGATCGACACTATCATTACAGAAGAGGACGATGAGGATGAAAGATCACATCAAAAATAAGCTGGAGTCGAATGCTTCGACTAAACCGATTAATCGCTACAGCGCTAGTTAGTTAGTGAGCATCATTGAGTGCACACTAACTAGGGATCGACACTATCATTACAGAAGAGGACGATGAGGATGAAAGATCACATCAAAAATAAGCTGGAGTCGAATGCTTCGACTAAACCGATTAATCGCTACAGCGCTAGTTAGTTAGTGAGCATCATTGAGTGCACACTAACTAGGGATCGACACTATCATTACAGAAGAGGACGATGAGGATGAAAGATCACATCAAAAATAAGCTGGAGTCGAATGCTTCGACTAAACCGATTAATCGCTACAGCGCTAGTTAGTTAGTGAGCATCATTGAGTGCACACTAACTAGGGATCGACACTATCATTACAGAAGAGGACGATGAGGATGAAAGATCACATCAAAAATAAGCTGGAGTCGAATGCTTCGACTAAACCGATTAATCGCTACAGCGCTAGTTAGTTAGTGAGCATCATTGAGTGCACACTAACTAGGGATCGACACTATCATTACAGAAGAGGACGATGAGGATGAAAGATCACATCAAAAATAAGCTGGAGTCGAATGCTTCGACTAAACCGATTAATCGCTACAGCGCTAGTTAGTTAGTGAGCATCATTGAGTGCACACTAACTAGGGATCGACACTATCATTACAGAAGAGGACGATGAGGATGAAAGATCACATCAAAAATAAGCTGGAGTCGAATGCTTCGACTAAACCGATTAATCGCTACAGCGCTAGTTAGTTAGTGAGCATCATTGAGTGCACACTAACTAGGGATCGACACTATCATTACAGAAGAGGACGATGAGGATGAAAGATCACATCAAAAATAAGCTGGAGTCGAATGCTTCGACTAAACCGATTAATCGCTACAGCGCTAGTTAGTTAGTGAGCATCATTGAGTGCACACTAACTAGGGATCGACACTATCATTACAGAAGAGGACGATGAGGATGAAAGATCACATCAAAAATAAGCTGGAGTCGAATGCTTCGACTAAACCGATTAATCGCTACAGCGCTAGTTAGTTAGTGAGCATCATTGAGTGCACACTAACTAGGGAGCGGCACAGAATCATTACAGGTTGATGAGGTTGAAACATCAAGCTGGAATCCAGAGCATCCAGGGCAGTAGCGCACACTAGTTAGTTAGTATTACTCTTACCGTCTCAGGGTCATTCTCAAACACTTCTCTCGCCTCCTCTTTAGTGCACCTCTCCTCCACACACTCCCTCTCCAGATGACCCTGCTTGGTCTCCTCGAACCCCTGGTTCGCTCTCCGGTGTCTGCGGAGAAACTCGCTCGCCTCCTTCGGAGACACGGACACTGAAAGCAGCAGAAACTCTCAACTTCTGCCGATCGCACTAGTTAGTGGTCAATGCACGGGAATAAGGGCTCGTCTGGCGTACTTACGCTGTGAGGAGCAGCCGCTACACAGCAGGACGAAGCAGCAGATCCACACGAACTCTCTCATGTTGGTTCTGCGTCAAACTTTCGCTCGTTCTGGATCAGAATCCTGCACTGATCCGCCACCTTCCAAGCCGAACACGAGCGTCTCTCTCTCTCTCTCTCTCTCTCTCTCCCTCTCTCTCTCTCTCTCACTCCTTCCTCTTCTCTCTTTCTCATGCATTTTGTCTTATTCTCTGGTGTGAATAGGCTATATTTTGGTGTCTCATTACTTTTATGTAAAGCATTAGAGGAACAAATTGTATGTCCTGTTTTTTGTGAGACATAATAGCTTGTTTAACATATCTAATGCCTAACATAAAATTAAACTAGCTAGATTGTTTTAAATGTCTGCCCCCCCCCCTACTGATCCCCACCTTCCCAAGCCCAACACGCGCGTCTCTCTCTCTCTCTCTCTCTCTCTCTCTCTCTCTCTCTCTCTCTCCTCTCCAATCGTGAGCAGCAGATTCGTCGGTTTATTGGTGAAAGTTGCCTATGCAGAATTTTCCTCCGCAATAGCAGATCACTGCAGTACATTCTACACAAACATACCTTTAAAGCGATAGATCGCACAAAAAACGCACACTAATATCATTGACTTGCCCTCGTCGTGCAACACAAAAGGAGAAGCTCAGCAGAATGTTCAGGCTGCTCCTCATACAATGACAGTGAATGGGGACTACCCTAAACATACTTAAATGTATTTGAAATCCATTTATTTCATGCTAAGTATACATTTTCATATTTATGTGCTTAATAAAATGCCCTGCAATTGTACTTTTAGTATACTAAACTGGTAGCTATACTTAAAGTAACAACTAATTTTGCACTTAATGCACTTTAATTGTCCGGAAGTAGTCCAATTAAAGAGATGCTCAGTGTATTTGATTGTGCTAAACTATTGCAAGTATTCTTCAGGTACACGTTAAATAGTTTAAAGACCGATATTATTCCAAGATCATCAAAGGTGACATTAAAACACATTTTAGACTTAATATTAAGAAATGTGCATTGTGCACCAGTAGTACGCCAAATACAGTTTAATTATAATTTTTACATCAGTAAGTCTTGAGTTATCTGTCAGTAAATATGTTTTAACTATGCATTTTAAATATATGACCTTTTTACTAGGGTAGAGCCGTACGTCGAGCTTTAAACAAGGACAAAATGCATTTTCATAAAAGTCTTCTAAAGTAATACACAGACTGAATTTGACTGAATCTCATGTACGCACGAGCATATTCTGTTTCACTCTTCTCGTGTGTTTCTGAGCCAGTGTTTTCACTCCTGCTTCTTTATGCAACACTGAGGTCAGGTCACTCGTGTCCATCTGTAAGCACACTGTAATCTAGTGTCCAGTGATTCAGCACTGTCACTGTGTCACATGGAAACGCTTCACTCGTCCGCTTTAAACAAAAAAAGTAGTCAAAAGTAGAGCATTTTCTAATAATAACAGCAGCTTCCAAACCTGCCGGGAGATGAATTTACAGGATTTTACAGTCATTTCAGATGACCAGACTAGCATAAAGACTACACTCTCAAACACCTGGATACAAACTAAATACAAAATAGATAGAAACATATAGACATATACATATATATGCGTGCGTGCGGCGAGAGAGAAATAGAAATATATATATATAGAACTTGATATAGAAATATAGAACAAAATATAGAAATAGGTGTAGAAATATAGACAAATGTAGAATATAGAAACAACTACAAATAAAAGTATAGAAAAATGTGGGAATAGAACTACAGAAGTATAGAAAAATATAGAAATAGAAGTAGATATACTGTAGAAATATAAAAAACTATAGAAATATATCTAAATATATAGAATAGAGAGCAATACAGAAATAGAGCTAGATATATACATTTAGAAAAATATAAATAGAACTAAATATAGAAAAATACATAAATAGAACTAGATGTAAAAATATAACAAATAGATATTCGAGTATAGAAAAATATGGGAATAGAAGTAGATATACTGTAGAAATATAAAAAACTATAGAAATATATAGAATAGAGAGCAATACAGAAATAGAGCTAGATATATACATTTAGAAAAATATAAATAGAACTAAATATAGAAAAATACATAAATAGAACTAGATGTAAAAATATAACAAATAGATATTCGAGTATAGAAAAATATGGGAATAGAAGTAGATATACTGTAGAAATATAAAAAACTATAGAAATAGAACTAAATACATAGAATAGAGAGCAATACAGAAATAGAGCTAGATATAAAAATATAAATAGAACTAAATTTAGAAAAAAAATACATAAATAGAACTAGATATAAAAGTATAAAAAATAGATATTGAAGTATAGAAAAAATATAGAAATAGAAGTAGATATACTGTAGAAATATACAAAACTATAGAAATAGAACTAAATACGTAGAATAGAGAGCAATACAGAAATAGAGCTAGATATAAAAATATAAATAGAACTAAATTTAGAAAAAAAATACATAAATAGAACTAGATATAAAAGTATATAAATAGAACTAGATGTAAAAGTATAAAAAACAGATATTGAAGTATAGAAAAAATATAGAAATAAAACTAGATTTTGCAGCATAGACAATATAGAACTAGATACAAAATAACATAAGCGTAAGTATAAAAAAATATAGACCATTGAAATTTTCATGATTTTACAGACCTGATATGTTCACAATTTAAAAAACTTGAAGGAATGAATGAGGCATTTATTTTTGAAAAATACTTCTTTTTACTTTATTTTTGCATTTGTTAATCCTATTTATTGCAAAAATGAAAATCAGCCCATGTTTTACTCACCTTCAAGGCATCCTATCTGTATATGATAGGGATGTAATGAAATGATCAATATCGTGATATCGCGATAGAAAAACGGTGTTGTGCATCAGTATGGCCTTTAATAAATCACCGGAGAATGCGAGCTAATGCAGACGAGTTGTAAGGTCCGCGCACCTGGCCCAAGGAAGGTATCCAGTGGCGGATGAAGGTCTCTTGCGTGTTCGGTCTTTTCAGCGCGCAGTGTTATTCAATTTAGGTTTAACTCAATCTGACTCCATTTTAGTATCTGAATTCTAATTTAGGTTGAAAGGCATATTGGTTGTTTGTCGGTCTCTGATTATTCTTACATTCGATTATTCTAATTAACTCTTTACTTTGTATTCTTTTCTCGTTCATTAGGAATCTATGTCGCTTAGGATGCCTCACGGCGGCCGCTATGCGTGGGCTCCACGATCACAAACTCGCCAGTTTGATACTTATTCAGAGGTTTTTTGGCTAATACTATTTCCTTTAAATAGTAGGTTTGTTTAGCCCCCTACAATTACCCATGTAATGCTCAAACAATAATCAGCGGTTCTTCTAGACCCTTAGTCTAGACCCCAATAGTTATTATAACTACGTACAACTTAATTAACACTTCAAATATTAATCAGCGGTTCTTCTAGACCCTTAGTCTAGACCCCAATAGTTATTATAACTACGTACAACTTAATTAAAGCTGAAATCATACACATGGTTAACGTAACTGAGTACAACTTAAATTAAGGTCAAGCGTTAGTCAGGAATTTAGAATCTCACCTGATGTGCCCGTGCTCCATCTAACCTGAGATCTAATGTGCACTTAACCCTGGACACAGATTTGCGGAAACATACGCCTTCACTTAATCTACTTGAGAAAATAACTTCAGAGTGAGTCAGAATAAATCAAATGTAACAATTTATTATCAGTCAGGTAAATATGTATTATGCCAATTATTTCCACAGCCAATTTAACGATATCAAATCAATACAAGACATCAAACTCTCAAAGACGAATCTAAGAGTAAAATGCATATCTGAGATTACATATATTAGATGTATTAGAAAATACATAGTACAGAGTATGTGGAGATACTCTGTACTACGGGCATTCTCGTTACAGAATCGCGCTGACCCTTTTGCTGCAGTCCTTTAAATACCAAACCTAAGAAAAACATCCTCCAAATGGAGGCATGTACAAACAATTGGAATTTGCATTAAGCCAGGTCCCAGACCTGGGTGGTAACAAAAGGTAATTTGCATGGGATTGTTCTCTACGGGGATCAAAGTTTCTCTTAACTCTTAGGATCTGTATTATCTTTTAGTACGATTAAGACCATTGTACCACTTGCCCTGAAACTATTCAAATGAAACCAAACATGACTGTAAATCTTATTTGCATTAATTTAGAACAT